ACACACACACACACACGAAAACAGCCTTGCACACACAGACTGTTCTTCCCTGCCCTTTTACTCTTCTTCCGCTTTGGCTGATGTTGCTCTCTCACACACTCTCATAAACAAACACAAACATAAGCGTACAAAAGAGAGGTTTTTCCTCAAACTATGCACCCACTCACTCGCCCACGTGTGAGCTCTATGGTCTTCCCCCAAAGTGGAATACATCTGCATTATCACTTACATTACAAAAATATGCAAATAAGAACACAGTTCTCCTTACTGCAAATGAAACTTTTAAACAACGCCGTTCACTGTTTGTGCACTTCCTTGAAAACGTGAGCAAAATAAACATGGTGGGCCAACATGCTGCCATCCACCTACACACACATGGAGAACATCCAAAATGTTTTATGCTCACTTGAGAATTTAGCAGGAGCCACACATTTAAGTAAGTAACAGAATGACAAATCTAAGTACCATAAGAGTTCTGGAAGGGCCTGAGGATTAATAACTAAGACTAAGAACTAAGAGTTCTTTTTTGTTGAACTGTTGCAGTCAGACTTCACTTAACATACAATTTCTTCTTCTTTTGACTAACATCTTTAGGGGCTGTCACAGTACATCATCTGCTTCTGTCTCTCTCTTTGTTCTGTGTGAAATAAAGAATAATATGGGCTACTCTTGTTTATGTTTGTGCTTTTGCTGGTCATTTCCTTTTGCACCCCCCAAAAAAGAAAAAAAGAGAGTAAAACAACAGACTTCAGAAAAAAAAAATTGAAATACCTGGAACAGAGTATTAGCTCTTTGGTTTTTGTTTTTTCTTTGCCTTTCTTCCTTGTCATAGTGAACTCTGTCACATTTTTTCCTGTTCAAGCCAACTTTTCATCTAATCATCATTTAACCTAACACAACTGAGACTGCTCTGTTAGCTTCATGAAGGATATGTTATGTGTGTCACAACTGAACCATCCTTTCCCAATTCCCAAAGAAAAGTATAGCAACACAGATTCCAAGCTGTGTTTAAATTTTAACATTAACAGATTAATGCAGTCCTCTTATTTTATGCTGATTCATTGACATTGCATTGCCTCATAAAGGTCTTGCATCTAGTTAAATGCCAAACCAAATTAGGTGTGCAGACAACTTTTCCTGATTCTTGAAATAGCTTAAATTCCTTTTTCAATGTCATCTTTTTTATTTATTTATTCATTCTAAATAAGAAGCAAAATCCACAACAGGCCCTCCATGGGTTTGTATCCAGGAGCCTCTTGCTACAAAACAACACTAGTAACTTCTCCTAAAGCCAATAATCTTGTAATAGATCATGTCAAATGTATAAGTGTATAACCATTTTTGTGAATTTCTGTGTCCTGTAAAACAAAACAAGCTTTAAGATGAGATGCTTACCTTCGAGGAGGATGCTGCTGTCGCTCCTTCCGCCTGCCTTCCCTCAAGTTGACAGGTTTTCCAGGTTCCCTGGGTGGCAGGGGTTTGACTGCTCCACCAGCTCCTGCACCTCCAGCATCTCGTGGATTGTTAGGAGGCTTTCCTCCATCTGGCAAGGGTTTGGATGGTCTGGACTGCAGTCCGGAAGGCATAGAAGGGCTGGAAGCTTTTTTCATGGGAGGCCTGTCCCTGCGAGGAGGGGGCATGGCATCCTGCTTCAGTGGTATGCTAGGGAAGGAAAAGGGATCTTATAGGTATACAGACAGTAATGGCAGGCATGTGATAATAGCTAGTAGTGGTGCAACGGATGAAAAATCTCACGGTTCGGATTGGATAACAGTTTTAAGTCACAGATCGGATCAATTTCGGATCAGCAAAAATAGAAAAAAAAGACAAAAATTCGACTTGCCATTTATTTATTTAAGTATTTTTTGCTTATTAAAAAACATTCAACTGAAGACTCATTCCACGCACTTATATAAAAACAAATTAAGGTGCAATATGGACATTATGGACCATGCTGGGCAGCCTCTGCATCCTCTGCACACAGCCATAAAGTCTGTTTAGGGAAAGGTTGCTTCTCCCAAAGTCAAGAACCAGCAGACTTAAAAAGTCCTTTGTCCCACAGGCCATCAAACTGTCTAACTCCTCGCTGGAGGGGAGAGGGAGGGGAAACGGGGACAAAGGAGGGGGGAAAAAGTAGCTGTAGTGCCTTTTCACTGTGCAATAGTTTTTGTTAATATCCAACGGTGTAATACACTCACAATACTTGAAATGTGCCGTTCCCTTGTATTCTTATTCCTATTTATTGTATTTATCCCTTTTGTGTTCTCTGTATTTATATATGTGTATATATGGTATATTTCTGCTCACATTCTGCAACTTCTGTCGGTGCTGTGCTACTGGAAACTGAATTTCCCAGAGGAAACCACCCGAGGGATAAATAAAGTTTCATTTAATCTAATGTAATCTATAGGGCAGTACAGGGCTTGTACCTAGCACTCCGCTGTGATATAACGAGCGGTCACGGTCACGTGGCTTTCCGTTGCCCTGGAGGTCCACCCATTTGTAGTTAGAGCAACAGAAGATGCCTGGGACAGTTCAGCCATAACTTTAAACTTCTCCTGCTCATACCTGCTTGGAACGATCTTGTCGCTGAAGTGGACGCGCAACGAGATATCATAGCGTGGCTCAAGCACGTTCATCAGTTTAAACCCCTTGTTTTGCACAACGGAATACGGCCTCCCGTCTGCAGCTAAACACCCCAATAGCCCGGTCGGATTGGCCAGCAAAGGGCTGCTTAAATGCCGCAAACTCCTGTACTCCGCTACTTGGACCGCTAGCGCTGACCATAACTACCGCTCAACAGACTGACCATGCGCACCACACACATACTTTTTTTTTCTTTTTCGAATCTTCGGATCACGTGCATGCCGAACCGTGGACTGGGATCGGTTCGGAATTCGGATCAATCGTGATCCGTTGCACCACTAGTAGCTAGCATGCAACTATCCAATCGAATCGAATCCAACTTTCTGTATAATCCACTTTAAAACAGCCAGCACAGGACCAAAGCTCTGTACAGTAAATAAGTTGAGAACAGTAGATAAAATGAAACAAAAAAACCCAAAACTAAATAAAACAACTAAAAGAAAAATAAACTAAGAAAAACAACATCTCACAAGGTGTCAAAGGCCAGGGTGAAGAGACGGGTTTTCAGAAGTGATTTTAAAAACAGGCAGAGAAGAGGCCTGTATAGAAGCAGTTTGGGAACTGCTACAGCAAAAGCAGAGTCTCTGAGTTTACGCTCAGTCCTGGGTACATTCAGGAACAGTTAATCAGCTAACCTGAGAGAGCGCGTGGGTGTATAAGTCAGTAGCAGCTCAGAGAGATAAGATGGGGCTAGGCCATGGAGGGCTTTAAAATAATTTTAAAATGAATCCTAAAAGGAATGGGCAGCCAGTGAAGTGAAGCTAAAATAGGGGAAATGTGCTCAGACTTTAAAGTGCCAGTTAAAAGACGAGCTGCAGCATTTTGCACCCTCCGTAGATGAGTAATGGATGAAGCACTGACCCCTATATAAAGTCTGTTACAGTAATCCAGCCGAGTGGTAACAAAGTTGTGAATAACTGTCTCAAAGTGCTGCCGTGAAAGATTTGGTTTTATTTTAGCCAACTGCCTGAGCTGAAAGACGCACGATTTTATGACTGCCTTAATCTAACTGTTAAGCTTAAAGTTCAGAGTCCACTTTGACCCCGAGCTTTGTCTCATTATACTGGGTCAAGGAATCTAAAGACACATTGGAGGTCTCAGTGGGGCTACCAAAAAGCATAATCTTAGTGTTTTTGTCATTGAATTTTAAAGTTACAAGACACCCAAGCTTTAATGTCATCAAGACACTGAAGTCATGGCTGTATAGAATGTGTGCCTTTTTTCTTTACATAGATCTGACAGGCATCAGCATAAAAGTGAAAAGCAACGGTGTATTTGCTCAGTATAAAACCAAGACGGAGCACATACAAAGAAAAGAGGAGGGGGCCTAGAACTGAGCCCTGTGGGTCACCACAGAAGAGAGAAGCAGAGGAGGACACATGGTTACAGAGACTGACACAAAAAGTCTGCTCCAACAGTAGGACCTGAACCACTCCAGTGCTGTGCCTCTAACGCCCACTGCATTGCACAGCATAGGAATGCAACCTTGCAGCTACCGATCAACAAGAAGCCCTTCAAGTGCAAACCTCCGCCAAAGCAGCTCACTCTCTGCTCAGGATTTACATTGAAACTTTTAAAATTTTTAATATTTACCCTTTGGCTACAACAGGCTGAAGGTCTGCTTTGTTCTTAGCGTTCCTCAGTGCTGCTGGACTTGGTGAGGGAGATGTGGAGAAAGACTGAGACCTATAAATTAGATCAGATCAGATCACTCAAATGCACAAAACAATGCGATTCATAGTCAGTTGCTTGTTTTCAATTTTAGAAATTCTCGAGTGGCTTGACATATCTTAGCAGAATGTGTCAAAAAATGGTGTTGGAGAGGAGAAACACATTAAAAACACAAACACACTATAAGATTTATGTACCTAGAGTGGCTGCCGCTGAAGGAGCTGCGTTGGGACGAGTGGCTGGAGTAGGAGCTGAATGAGGAAGAACGGCTGCGGGAACGGGACGATCCGGAGCCTGTATATGATGAAGAGCGGGACGAGGACCTGAAATGCACATGGAATAAACCCAATTAAAATTCTGAATGGGCTACTGAAGAATTATCAAGCAATTCCTTTCTACCTTCTACACTAAAACAAAAAGTAACCAGAACAGGACGAAGGTTGTTTTTGGCTCTCAGTGCACTCCATTTGTGTAACTTCCCCCCTGAGGGTACTGAGGGGTGAAAGTACGAGACGCAAATGACCATTCCTGCAGTTAATGGGTCGCTTCTCTGCAGCTGTGACCTCCCTGACATCTCAGTCGTGGGGCTCTCCGGCCTTGGAGGAGCCCGACAACTCTCGCTGCAGGAGTACCTCTCGGGGCAGTATCATCCAGGGTGACACTGACCACAGATGCATCCCTGTCAGGTTGGGGTGCAACTATGATGGGCAGAGCATTGAATGGCATTTGGTCACAGAGACAGGCTCTGAATCACATAAATGTGCTGGAGCTCCGCGCGGTGCTCCTAGCCTTACGGCATTTTCTGCCATATCTCAGGGGACGACATGTTTTTGTGAAAACAGACAACTCCACTGTAGTTGCTTATATCAACCGCCAGGGCGGTACCTGTTCCCGGCAGCTACACAGGTTAGCCAGGGAAATAATTGTGTGGAGCAGCACACGGCTCCTCTCCCTTCGAGCAACTCACATGTCAGGAATTCTGAACGGGGGGGCGGACCTCCTGTCCAGAGGAAATCCACTGTTCGGAGAATGGAAGCTTCACCCACAGGTGGTGGAGCAGATTTGGCAGAGATACGGCCGGACTGCCGTAGATCTCTTCGAAGAGATCTACGGCAGATAATCCCTTTCCAGCGTTCAGTGGTGGAGCTGTTGTGTTTTCTTCAGGACTTGCTGGACAAAAGGAGAGCTTTTTCTACCATAAAGGTCTATTTGGCAGCTATTTCAGCCTGCCACGTGGGGTTTGGAGATAAACCTGCTGGTCAGCACCCTCTTATATGTTGCTTCATGAGGGAGGCACGTCAAACGCTCCAAGTCACTAGACCACTGGTCCCTTTATGGGATCTGTCAGTCGTTTTAGATGCCCTCTTTAGATGCCCACCCCTTTGAGCCTATCGGGGCAGTGGGGTTGAAGTTTCTCTCTCTTAAAACCGCTCTGCTGTTGACTGTAACCACAGCCAAGCGAGTTAGTGAATTAAAGGCTCTGTCTATTCACCCCTCTTGTCTACAGCTGACCCCGTGACTCACTAAAGCGTGTCTAAGGCCTAACCCAGCCTTTGTCCCTAAGGTGTTGGAAACTGGATAACACCTTTCATTATTAGGCTCCATGTTAAGCCTAATATGGAGAAGTCCCTACCTAGAGGAGTTGGACACAGAGATTGAAGAGCCTGATGGTCGATGATGCCGGCGGCCCCGTGGGGGCGAGCCCGGTGCCGGACGTCTCCTGGGGGATTTGGACCGTCGCCATGGGTCCTTCCACTCATCTGGTCGTCTCATGATTGGAACAACCTCCTTCTTTGATGGGGGCTCAATCGGCCTGCTGACAAAATTGAAAAGTTGAAATCCAATTGAATTTTTTTATATATATACCTTATATAACTATAATCTTAATGAAAAAGAAAAGTTTTAAGCCAAATCTTGCAAGTAGGGACTGTGTCTGTCTCCCAAATCCAAAATGAAGGTCGTTCTACAGAAGAGCTGCCCTGAAAGCTAAGGGCTCTGCCTTAGGAACTACAAGTAAGCCTGCAGTCTGACAGTGAAGTGCTCTGGTTGGGGTGAGGTATTTAAAATAAGATGCGGCCTGATTATTCAAAACCTTGTATGTGAGGAGAAGAATTTTAAAAAAGATTCTGGAATTAACAGAAAACCAACGAATAAAAGCAAGTATGCGAGAAATAGGATCTCTCTTTCTAGTCCCTGCAGCATTTTGGATCAACTAAAGGCTTTCAAAGAGCCGAAAATTAATAAATTACAATAGTTGAGCATGGAAGTACTACATGCATGAAGGCATTCAGGGGGTCGCGTGACCAAGACAACAGCTTAATAGAGAAGCTCTGGGAACCATGGTCTACATTTTTAAAAACAACCCTTACAAACTGTCAATCTCTCTGTATAAGGACACAGTGTGTCAAAAACCTACAGCAGCTAGGCGTCCCACAAAGGGAAATGCCAGTGTTTAAAACAGGTTCTGTGTTCAGTGTGTGCGAGTGCTTGAATGTATGATGTATGTGTAAATTTGTGGTTTTTGTTTGTTTTGTTGGGGGGTTTTTTGTGCACAATCTAAAAGACACCAGGATAATATAATAACAACAACATATGGCGAGGACCAAACAGGAAAGTTTCATTGTTAATATAATGAGCTGGAATGTCAGCGCAAAGAGAAAACTAAATGAAACAAGTATTCAATAGAATACAAGACTTTAAATCTAAGATGATCTTAAATGCAATAAATGCATCTGACCACATCAGACATAAAATTGCTGACTAAATGTTTATTTCACATTTGTCTTAAAAGTTAGGCTAGAGGGGTTGCCATCCCTATACACTAGTCAATGTAACTCCGCATGGGAGTTATATTGTCATTCAAGTTAATATCCTCTCACAAAAATAAATTATATGTCTATCTGTGTGTAGCCCCATTGATGACAACCCGTTTTTTTGAGAGAATATTTTTAACTGTCTGCTTTAGAAGGAATCTACACTGTAGGAAGGGACTTTAACTTTACTCAGTAATGGACAGATCCACCCAGACTGACAAAACATGCAAAAAGAAAGAAAGAAAGTGCCATTCATGCGCTATTTTTTTAAAAATATCCAAAGAGTTACAATCCCAAGTCAAAAAATGCTTCTATATTAGATGTAGTATTGTGATTAGTGATCATGCTGCAATCTCTATGCAAGTTCAATGAGATGGAGACTGCAAACAATTTTGTTAACGGATCAAATTTTTGGTGAATTTGTAGAAAGATGCATAGACAAATACTATGAAAGAAATGAATCTGAAAACAAAGCAAGTATTATGTGGAAGGCTTTTAAAGCCCATTCTTATCCTTAGTCAGCTGTCAATGTTGCCCACTCTGGTTCCTGGAAGACAATAAACATTGGTTGCTGTTTCTTTCTATCTACTTTATTTTTATTTTTTGAGAGAAACCATTCATAAAAGCCAGACTAAACAAATCCTTTTTTCGCTTCTTATCTGCTAACCTGTTGTGCATCAGACATGTAATAATGGCTGAATAAAGCGTAAAATATACCGTTACTGTTTTGACAAGTCATTAATGTGACCTGCACATTATTGTGTGTATGCTGTATTTATTCAAAGCATGAGATGTAGAGGTTTAATCTAAACGTTCCAATTAGTAGGGAACATGCTCTAACTCCTGAGTCACAGCTCTTATGAAAACATTTAGTCAAGAAATTGATATGGACATGAGAATTATATTAGGAATTAAAAAGCTAATAATTATAAAAAAAATAGTGAAAAGAATAACATGTCATAAATTCAATATTTATCATCTCCCATTATGTTCTTGTTAAAACGCACATTTGTGTTTTTGTTTAGCTTATCTGTGTACGCAATTTAGTTAAAAAGTGTATACATAACGTCTTATTTTATAGTGTAACCTTCATGTGTTTTATCTAAAGCACACTCTGTGGATTTACATGCTAATTATATTGACAGGATTCTTTCACTGTCTTTTTAAAGATTCACTAGCTTAGCTTGTAGCCAACTCGCAAGCAGCATGGCCTCTTCACCTGTCCTTGCTGCACTTTCCTGCTCAGTGTGCCAAATATCCTGAGCAGCCAGAAAAACTGGAGAGCTGGGTGACGGTAGGGATGAAGTACCGTCCTAAACAGAAGCCTAAAGTACACCACCAACCTCTTCATGTGTCTGAGGGAAATTGAAAACAGCTGGCTATGGGGTAAATGTAAAATCTGTAAAATTATAATTCACATTGACAATAATGACACCCGGTAATTTGAATCGGACACCAAAATTGATATTGAATGGCTGAGTAACTATATCAGTTAAAGTCTAACGACCTTGGAAAGAAAAAGCGTCTGGACGTCTGTTTCTTGAAGATGCTTCACCTCTCATCCAAGAAGCTTCTTCAGTTCTAAGAGCAACTGGTGGAGAGTCCCAGATTTTTAAGCCCTATTGAGAGTGTCCTGGACCCCCTATTGATCCTCTGCCTAATTCCACGAGCCAAGGTGCGAAAACGGATGCCTTGATGATGACATTTTATTACAGCAATTCGAGGATGCTGAAGGTATTACAGGTACTGCACTGCTGTGGTTTGTATCATATCTATCTAATAGACTCCAATGGGTTCATGTAAATGGAGAGTCCTCTTCACAAACTAAGGTTAATTATGGAGTTCCACAGGGTTCTGTGGTAGGAACAATTCTATTTACATTATACATGCTTCCCATAAGCCCCTTTTTGGTTTTCCCTGATGATGATGAAAAAGAAACATTTTGATCCAACACCTTCAAGGCCCTTTGGACCTCCATGTCATCCAGAGAAGAAAAGCTGAAGGGTTAAACCGCAGATTCAGTTTAAATGGCTGCAGAGAGAGCATGCTGCTCATTAAGCGTTATAAATCTAAAAGAAAAATTCAAATAGATACCCTGAAGAAAGAAAATGTTCATTACAGCAGTTAATACAGCTAACATTAAAATGTTCGTGGCAGTTTAACATTTCGATAACTGTTCAATACTGACATGTGAAGTTATTTCAGTGGAAGCACAAAGACACCGCAGATGATACTTATTTGCAACAGTATCAGTAGCTAGTCAAGTTAATTTTTAATATCAATTAGTGTCTGAGAATTTAGTTTTTCACGGCCCTAGTTTAGCAGAGAGTTATCTGTTTCACATTCACTTTTTAATTATCATTTTAAATTGTTTTACTCTGACTCTGAAATATTTATTATTACCAGATTTATTAACTGATTTGTTGACTAAGCATTGGGAATGATAACTGGTACACTTAGACTTACTGCAACTTAAATTTATCAACTAATTTTTTTCTTCTCTTCAGTTTTACTACTGTAATTTGAATACTGTGATAAAGCAACAGTTAGGATATGAGCATGCTTTCCTACATTAGTCACTGAGGTCATAAAACAAGCTCTGCTAGAGTGAGATAAAAAGCTGCTAAATGCGTTCAGACATTCAGGTGCAATGAGCTAACTTCCTCCTCATAAATGACCGAAAGAAAGTGGAAAAATGTCAATGGTACATCATAAAGTATTTTTAAAAATGTACAAAAGGTCACGCTTGATGAATGACGGATGAACAATGTCCTAGAATAACAATTTTGTCCTTGTATTTTTAGAACTAGTACTTAATACCTAAGAACATTGTCAAAGCTGATTGATTAAGTTGAAAGAGCAGAACTAAAAATCAAAATCGGCTTATTAACAGCAAAGAGCACAACTCAAAATCATTTCCCAAAACAGACCTGGGAATTTTTTCCCTTCTTTAGATTAAAACGGGTATGATGCAAACAACACTTCAATCATCACTCGATGGAGCTCAAAAATTTCTCCATTATGACATAAAGATGATCATTTTCCACCAAACAAAACAGAGGAACCCACTGTTTTCACACAACAATATTGATGTATGATATTAGTATTTATTATTCCCTAGCTTACATATCCCTATTTCCCACATTGTTTTGGACAAAGGTATTAAAAAGGTAAAATGACTAACTGTTATCGTTTGTGTAGCCCATTTTACTATTATGTCAGAATCAGAAAAATATTTGCCAATAAACCAAACTTTGTATCAAATGAAAATTTTTACTCTAAAAAATTTATATCAATCCATAAGTAAATAAGTCAAGTATCAACTGTCAAAATATGTCATTTAATTTTGTTTTACATTATGTGTCTCTTAAATAGAGTTAAACACCTCTAATATATTTATATTTACATATACAAGTTTTCATGCGTCGATAAAAAAGATCTTCCATGATGACATCCCTTGACTAGCACAAGACAGCTACAATATTTAAATACATAAAGGATTTTCCCTATGTTAGTTTAGTTTTGTTTAAACACTGCGAAGGTTCCAGTGATCTTCTTCAAGTGTGTATCATGTAAATATTTGTTGGAGGAAATGAATACTAGTGGATATTCCCACTAAAGGGGAAACAGTATGCTGGCATATAGAACTCCTTAAAAATGCTCACAGGAAGCCTTTTGTGATTCATTATTATACTATATGTGTACCCTGCAAACAGTTTGAAGCAGTTACCTAAAATTACATTGGATAAAAATAAAAAAATAATGACTGCAGGTTCTTTGCACTTGCAAGTAAACAAAAGGTACACATCGCCTAGGGAACGAGAAATTCCACTGTGATGTGATGCAAGAGCAATGAAGTCATGTTACGAGATTACAACTCACAAATCTAAAAATAGAACTACAACAAAACACAAGTTATTTTTATCTCAAAATTCTTATCGACTTAATGTTTCCCGTGAGAAAGGATCGAAAAAAGGAAGTTGGGCAATTAAAGCCAGGAAGCCCATGGTGTACACCAAAGGTTATGGGATATTTCCAGAACTTTATAAGTGTAATTAATCAGATCTAAAAAGTCTTCTGGAAAGCACAAGCCAGATTAGATTTCCATTTTCATTAATTAATTTGATTCTACGTCTATTTACTTACACATTACTTATTGCTTATTACTACTCCCAAATTTCCCCTTGTGGGACAATTAAAGGATTATTCTAATTACTTGTACATCTGTGATCTTTTTAAATTTGTACTTGTAATTTGTACTACTCTTTTGTAATTTTCATGTTTGCATGTTAACTCATTCACTGCCATTGACGTCTATAGCCATCAATTGCAGTGAATGAGTCAATGGGTTTAACTCATTCACTGCCAGCGTGAATGAGTTAAAAGGCACAAGGCAATAATCTCACTCAAAGTCATGGCATTAAGAATGGGAGTTGTAGAACACGTTTTTGTCTATTGTTTTTACAAGAATGGTTTGCCTTTATCCGGTTTATCCAGATGAGTAACCTCAGACTTAAGAATTAAGATGGTTAACAAAAAGAGGCAACTAGACCTGCCTTTTTATTAAAACAGTTGCTGTTACAGAATAGATAGTACAAATATGCTTGGCAAAAGAGCTAAAAGGCTAGTTCTGTGGTTTTAGTTATGGTATGGTTTGTCTGTTAACTTATTATTAACTGTCTTTATATGCGAGGAATAGTTTTGCGTTAAATCTATGGTCTGGCAACCCTAAGTTGAATTAGTGAAGGAGATACAAGAAAAGAAAGAAAGAAATAAAAGTCCCATGATTTACTCGTTTTCTCAACCATGATAAAGTGAAAGCAGCTCTTTGAACATGTTGATGTTGTTGAGATTCCAGGACAGAGAAAGGTCATCATTATTGCTTTTGAGGCTGATGAGGAGACTTTCATAATTTCAAAACTAGAGACTATCAGTGGGGAAAAACAAAACACACACACACACACACACACACACACACACACACACACACACACACACACACAC